CTTTCCGAATTAGGGTCACGGGCGTGATTTTGACAATCGTAGCCAAAGTTATAGCCAAAATACCGAAGCGTGTCCAAAAGTGGCCCCAATTAGGAAATATCGATGATTACTTGCTATTCTTGCGCTGATCCGCCAACTCATGGTACCTCAGCTCCATTACGAACTATCAGACAGTTCGACCTCGTCTGACTCGGATCCTCCTGTATAATTATTACTCATAGGCTATAACTAAGCATTATTTCTATTCCCTTTGTCTCAATCATTGTGCTATTGACACTTCTTATACGAAGTGGCGTACTAGTGATGGTTTTCTTTCCTAACTAAGGGTGACAAAAGAATTGGAAGTTTGGAACCTGTCCAATCCAATCAATTTAGAATCGACCACTTCAATTCGGTTCAATCACACATAAATTTTAAACCTAGAACCAAAAGTAAGCCGATTTCAGTTCGATTCCATTCTAGTACTTTGAATTGAGAATCTGTTCTAACCTTATCAGCTTTTAAATTAATTAGGTTTATTTGTTAATCTAGTAAATGATTTTTGTTAGACAAAGTTTTGTATTAAGTTCAAACCAAATCAGAGCCATTCATTTCTAGTTTGTCTCAATATTTTAAAATAGATAATGGATTTAAAATTTGAAGAGAGGCAATCTCTATTTCTACTTTATATGGTCACACTTAATTAGCTACAGATTTTAATACTTTATTTCTTAAATTATTCACATAATATTTGAATTGAGTGACCATTGAAAAAAAAATGTTAAATAAATTATTAGGATGGATCAATAAATATTTCTTGAAAAGAACAAAATAAAGAGCCAAAATAAATAACTGTATTAGAGGGTATCAGAAATTTTACTCTCAAAGAACATCTCTAATTATATTTAGGGCATGTTTGGATCGGAGTAAAATCTGATTTTAATCTAAGTCAAAGTCAAATAATTAATATTAACCACATCTTTCATGGATCTCACATCTTTTCAACCACACATTTCAAACATTTCTATCACAATCTACTAAAAATCTAATTTTAATATCCACCAAATACCCTATTAATATCTTATGGACAATTTAGTCATTTCAATAAAAATTTTGGAGGGAAACCGTCAGAAATAAGAAGTATTAGTTAATTGAATGTTGAAGATAAAAATGCAATGAAATAAAGTAAAAAATGTACGCTTGTCAATAAATAAAGGTTAAGGACCTTTAATACAATTAAAATCTGATGCACTTATAAAAAATTGTGATGTCATGTTAATAAAAAATGGATCGACAGTATGTTAACGAATTGGTCCACTACACTAATTATATTCGCACCACCGTTTTTGTTAGCAACACCACATTTTATTGTAATGAAAGTCTTTATCTTTAAGTCATTTTTCTCAATTATATGGTAAATTTTTTACGTCGTATTTTTATCTTCGATCTTCTATTAATTAACACATCTTGACTTTGATGATGTCAAAAAATCCATTAGTAGAATAAAATGACTTATTTACCTCTTGTATTTTCAAATAAGATAAGTTCGACAAAATATTTTTCCTACTCTAACAAAATATTTGGATAAAAATCGTCATCAATTAATTTACTAAAGGCTAAAGATAAAGAATACGATAAAATTAAAAATGGGCTGAATTAAATAAAATTGTGGCCGTGCTTATTTATACCATGGTTTTTTTTAATTACATAAAATGTCTAAAATCTTTGTTAATTACCACACTTACGTCCTCAACCATTTTCTTCACATTTCTTATTATCGACCTTTCATTGGTTAGTACATTTTCTTTCAATAATGGTTGTCATCGAAGAATTTTTGTTTAAAAAGACTTATTTGCCCTTTATATTTTCAAACAAGTAAAAAACATGAATTATAATTGTGCAAAAAATATTTGTCCCTCATTTCAAAGAACCTATAGAATATTTGACAAAAAAATCGTTAGGGATCAGATATTAAATCCAAAAAAAAAAATAAAAATGTAAGAATAAATAAATGTGATAATAAGCAAGGATTGGTTATTTTTAGTGCAATTAAAAAAGTAGTACAACAAAAGACTGATAGTATAAACATCATTTTCTATATTTATATAAATTTCATTACAAATCAATTTGGAATTATATTATTACGTACCAAATGACGTAAATGAAAGAGTTATTATAGGTCAATTTGTCATGGCTTTTGCTTTTACTTTTAATTTTTTAGAAGAGTTTTCTGAAATAGATATCTTAATTTGTTTGAAAACTAATTTTTAAAAGAGCTTTTTATTCCGATATTTTTTATTTTTTAGAGGAAATCATATTGGATTAACTATCTCTAAAAGTTTTTCTCAAAAATCTTGTCAAACTAACTCTGTATACATCAAATGTGCTTTATTGCACATAAAGATTTCCATTCTCGATAACAATCCAAATCTAGTACCCATTTTATGCCATTTGTATATCAATTGTGTACACCATGATGTACAGTAAACATGATTGGCCATCTAATTGTATAGCCAACTCTTGACCAAAAAAAAAAAAAAATTCCTAAAAGTTTCCCCCTTGAAAATTCCACACAAAGATGAAGCAATCGTGCTACAATACCAATGCTTTGACATGATAATACACCTCCGTCAACCTTTCTGCCATTTTCCTTATGACAAAGTAGATTAATCCAAGACAACCTTATAAAGGAACAAAGGGTGGCTAAGCGAGAAAAAAAAATTCAATTGGTTTTGTAAAATTTAGCTCATATTTGTCATCTTTTAAAATTTTAAATTGTTTACTACAGTACTATCTGTCAACCTTTCTATCATTTTCCTTATGACAAAGTAGATTAATCCAGGACACCTCACAAAGGAACAAAGGGTGGCTAAGCGAGAAAAAAAAAATTCAATTGATTCGGTAAAATTAGCTCATATTTGTCATCGTTTAAAATTTTAAATTGTTTGCTACAATACTATTCTTCACCACGCATTCACACAATAAAATATCCGCACACAAATCAATAAAGTTTTCTTACTTTTTAATCACACATTTTTCATCAATCTACTATTTTATAATACATTTCAAGAAATTAATGGCTCTCAAACAGGGCTTATTTTGTCTTAATTAGATCAATAAATTTTAATTTAGTTTTAAATTTTGCGACTCTGACATATTTCGTCACTCAGTCTTCCAAACATATAAAAATTGCCTGTTCAGCTATCATACAGTAACTGATCTTATACAAAATTTCTATGTGACACATTAGTAATGAAAATAGTGAAATGAAAGATATGTTAACATTTTATGACGTGGTACAGTAGTAAGTTGTCACGTCACGTAATGATTACGTTGAAGATTTGTTCGTTGGGCTATTGAAATTTTAAAATTTTAATTGAAATTCAGTGACCAAATTGAAATTAAATCAAGTCCAGGATCCCAATCAAGACATTGAACTTTAGTGAGTCGTTGAGATTAGACTGTAGATGTAAGTTACCTAAGATAAGTTGGACAAATTTTTCTTTTTCGTTTTTGGATTAGTGCCTTGAGTTAATTTTAAGATCTATATCGATCAACATATTCTTAAGTTCAACTCGGTCGTTTTGGGTCAGGTTTTATAATATTTTTCAAGTCAACTTCTAATAGGGAATGCAATCCACCATAGTTTTAACCTAATAAATTGAGGATGTGTTTGAGCTACATTATTTTGGAAGAATTATTCTGGAATAGCAGATTGATGGAGAATTTGTGATTGAAAAAGAAGGAAAAGTTATTAATGCGATGTAAAATATTATTTTATTGAAAAGTGTGTGGTTGAAAATGAGTAGAAGAATGAGAATTGAAATTTTAATGTGTACCAAACTGGGGCTGAGTTAGTGAATTCTCCACTTCAATATTTTCTTGGTCGAACTTGTCATGGCCACCTAGCTAGCCTAATCCTAAGCCATCTTTCCATCTTGAACCCTACTCGATGAAAGGGGCACGTAGGCCATGATCAAACAGCTTAACCCATCTGTGTTTGAGCCACATTATTTTGGAAAAATATATTTTGAAATAGTAGATTGATGAAGAATGTGTAGTTGAAAAAGAAGGAAAAATTATTGATGTGATGAAAAATATTATTTTATTGAAGAATGTATCGTTGAAAATAAGTAGAAAAATGAGAATGAAAATTTTAACGTGGCTCAAAACACGAGTTATATAATTATTACCGACAAGTACTTACCACATGCATAGATATGGCAAAACACGAAGATCAATAATATTCACATTCTTGTTTTTAAATTAATAGGTGGGTCGGTGCATAGCCCATTAGTTCTAGGCTAAGGTTAAATGAAAATTTGTACCCCGCCAGTGGAGGACAATGCTATAATGTAAAAGTCACAACCCATGTTAATTTTGTTTCTTTATTATCATTAATAAAAATTATGAAATTGATGTCCCGAGGCAGGATAAAAATTTTCCACTACTAATGCGATTTGGGTAATTCCATTTGTAGGCCCATGTCACTAAAAAATTTCAAAAAAAAAGGTGAACCCCTCTATTGTTAGTATTCGATCATCCACATTGTCATCTATTTCGATACATGTAGCATGATTGGATTTGGGTTTTTTTCCTGTTCATCGAGACCAGAAAATCAGATCTGACTAAAGATAATGTATTGTCCATGATAATGATGTTATCGAATAAAATATTAATAAACAAGATTTGGGAAAGAGGTGGGCATTGTTTTTCATTAAATGCCATTCTCTTGAAATTTATTTCATTTTCCAAAATATAAACACATATAAACATATCTCATGAGCAAAACCAGAACCATCCAACTAGCATCTCATTGTCTAAAGCTTTAAATATTATTATATTATCTATGATAACACTTGCTCCCTATGACGGAAAACTGAACTGAACTGAACTTGGATTCAAAAGGAAACAAGAATCAAAGTAAAACCATATCCATGTATATTATGGCATCAGGACTAGCAAGTCATGAACTACCAAGCACTATTGTTGCTGGAGAATCGGGAAATTCAGGTCCCGACTCACATCACATTGCAGCTTGATGTGTTTTCATCGTTGAACATTGAGTATTGATCAGCACGGTCGCCTGGGGGAGGGGGGTACGGATAAGGTTGATATGGAGGCATGTAATTGACTGCAGGTGGAGGACGGGCATACATCATTGGTTGAAACCTCTCGTTCCCGTTGGCACGTTGCTGGTTCATCATCATTGCTGCCAATTGTTGCTGGTACTGAGGGTTGCCGGCCATCATCTCGGGGCCAGCACCTTGGAAGTATGCAGCAGCAGCAGCACCAGCTCCTCCACCACCACCATTCATCGGGGCAGGTAGGCCTGGGACGGCTGATAAATTACCCATTTGGCCCATTGGGAGATTACCCATCTGGCCCACACTGCCAGCGGCATTCATAGCCATCATGTTAGGCATGCCATGAACACCATTATTCATTCCACCTTTTTGGGGCCCATTAGCATTAATATTGTTACCGTTGGCAGCACCAGCACCATTATTACCATTCTTGTTTTGGCCACCATTTCCTCCGCCTCCATTAGGTTGCCCACCACCATTCTTGGCACCCTTCCCACCACCTTGATTTTGGTTACCACCACCATTCTTGCCTCCTTTTCCGCCGCCTTGATTCTGGTTACCCCCACCCATGTTCATGAGAACCGGTATATTTCCTCCACCGCCGCCGCCCTTTTTGCCATTCCCACCATTATTACCAGCATTGGGAGCACCACCCATCATATTCATCATGTTAGGCATCTGGGCACCCCCATGACCATTGCCCATGATGGGCTTCTTCACAGGCTCATTAATTTCATCATCAAACTCATCAAATTCATCATCGTCATACTCATCATCATACTCATCATCAGTCAAGCCTTCATCCTCAGGCAAGTTAAACTTGACAGATTTAGGATTCTGGTCCTTGTTATTGAGGGGAATGTTCATATCCTTCATAAAATTAGGGAGCATTTTCAGATCTGGCAATCCTTTCATTTGTGGAAGCTGCTGAAGTTGCTGAAGCTGTGGATTTTGACCACCCTTTGGCTGGTTACCACCACCCTTTTGACCCTGCCCCTTGTTATTTCCTCCTTTCCCATTGTCAATTTGCATGTTCTTGGACTGATTCTGATTATTGTTGTTCGGCTTGGGTGCACCCCATATCTCTGCATGTTTCCCACTCTTATTAAGCTTCTTGACAAGTGTGGCTGGGTCAACATTTCCTGATACTGTGACCTTCCCCTGCTCTGAATCTATCTTTGTGGTATAAACCCCTGAAAACACACCACAAAAGGAAAACTTTCTTAGAAAATTCAGTCAGATATTGGAACAAAGCCAAATGTCCCAAAAACATAGTTCTTCAACATGACTAACAGCAGTCTACAAACGTAAACTATTAATAATAAGTACTATACCATCAATCTTCTGCAAAGTTTTCTTCACTTTTTGCTTACAGCCATCACAGTGTATATTGACTTTAAGAACACAAGTCTGCATGTACAAGCAAAGACAGATAAAGTTCACAACTTCATCATTCATAAAATAACTTTAAAAAAATAATACAGGGCTGAAAGATAAAGAAAATGGCAGTCAAAGATTGAGTTCAAAACAAGTAAAGCTACGCAAGAAACGTATACAAATGGAGAAAATGAATATTTACCTGAATCTTCAAGAACTCCTCTTTACTCATTTTATGCAATGATTTGAGAGAAAACAGAGAGGAGGGCTACAACTAAAAGAACGATTAGAACTGAGAGAGTGAATTATATTTATACAGAAAAAAGAAGCAAGCAAGCAAGCAAAATGGGGTTTCTTTCTTCTCTGTTGTTTACTTGTGCAACAAATGGGGGCTGAACCACACTGAGCAAAGAAAGTTTAACAAACAAAGGTTCAGTCTCTCAGAAGACTCAGTGAGAGAGCGTGTTTAGGGGCGGTGGGTAGACATTAAAACCTTCTCTGGTGATAGTGGTCCCTCTGTTTCAGAGGTAGAGAGAGACAGAGAGAGAGATGGGTAGACATTAAAAACTTCTCTGGTGATACTGGTTCCTCTGTTTCAGAGGTAGAGAGAGACAGAGAGAGAGAGACTGGCACATAAGGGTGGTATCATATTTTCACTCTTGGATTTGGGGCTTTATTTATGGGTATTTTTGGGGTATTAACTTTAGTGTCTTCAAACTTCAACGAGATGTTTACACTAAAAACCATTTTTTATTATCTTCGTTCTCACTTTTCGGCTCCTGGGCATCTCACTTTATGGCTCGGCTTGGCTTAACCCAGATGGGGATGAGGGGTGTAAGAATTGGGAGAGGGGGTGGCGTGAGGGGGGTTGAGAACATATTTGTCTAAGCTTTGAAGATTATTTACAAGTAAATAATATTTCTTTCAATAATGTTGTTAGTCAAGAACAAACTATGGACTATATACAACGAATTTCGTTATCTTAGGATCATTGTAGTTACTGTCGTCTTTCATCGAAGTTTCGATTGACTTCCCTGTCATTAGGTCGCCATCTTCCTTAACCTTCTGGTAGTAGATAGGCGTCAGCCCCCTTTCGCTCTTTCGGAATCGGTACATAAATGTGTATTTTTTCTATGTTTTTTACCTTAGTTATTGGGGGGCTTTGAGGAAGACATATGTTAAGCACCTTTTGGATGTGGGGATACTCGTTTAATCTCTGTATTCATTTCGTTCTTTTTTTTTACTTGAATGTCATATTCTCGTTCTTTTTCACCTGAACGTCATGTTATCCAATGAACAACATAACGATGACATTCGTGTTTTTCATCAATGATGGAAACCACTACTGATTTTCTGTGTTATCAAAAAATTCAAAACTAAGGCTCCGATTGGGAGCCATTCTTTCTTCAAATAAAACATTTTTTCTTTCACATCAAGTGGGGTCCATGGCTGGAAAGAGACACAAAAATGTGTGATTTGACACAAAGANAGAAAGAGACACAAAAAAGGTATGATTTGACACGAAAAATGCATTTTTTTGTAGAAAAATGGTTACCAAACGGAGGCTAAAAATAAGTTTCTTACAATGCTAGTAAGTGTCAGTTACTTACATTTACTTAAAAGTAAGAAAATCATAATTTATCAAAACGTGTTGGAAAATTAAAGTCGTTTACAGTTAACTTTACTTATGTTTAGCCAAACATGGCCCTATTTGTAACAAGGCTAGATTCAACGTTCAAATGGTGAAGTGAAACAAAATTGGAGTATATGTGAATATTAATCACAGCAGATATGAATGAGTTGTTGGAAGGTATAATAAATGGTCAGTTATTGTGGCCTTAGGTAAGAAAGAAAATTCCTACTGTTACACTTTGTATTTTGCAGATGGCTGCAAAGGGCTTATTAGAATGTGGATTTGATACTGTCCCTTGTGAAAAATTTATTACAAAATATTTAACAATGCTTTAAATGATAATTAGATATTTTTACTTTTTTTTTGGCAAATTTTGTCGAGTCCTGCCTAAGAAGAGAGACAAGCGGTTCAGCAGTTGTACCTTTCATTGTGGATTACAGTAAATGTGTGTTTGATTGTAAGAATGAAATTTACATAGAAATAAAATAAGTTTTAGAAAAGAGAGATGCTGCAGATCCAGGGCCAAAACCAGGCCCAAATCCAGGGGGCCGAGGTGGATGCACCTCGGCCCTTGATTTTAATTCATGTGGGGTCCTCTTACTTTAAATCAGGGGCTGAGGTGATGACACCTCAGCCATCTGAATTTTGGTCGGTCCTTCACCCTGGCAGACCAGCATTTTTCTTTAGAAAATTGAATTGTCTATAACTTATTTGCACAAAAAATATTAATTAAATGTGTTCGATTTGTTTAATTTTCAATTTAGAAAATGTTTTACTTGTCCATCTTTTATTAGTGCGTAGCTGAAAGAGATGAGGATAGATGAGAGAAATATATATAGTGAATTGTCTGAAACATAAAAAATTACCCATTCGTAAAGAAAATATTTTCCTTATTTTTGAAAAAAAAAATGGTCATGTGACTAACTTTCCAAAAATACTTTCCATGACAAAAAATGTCAATCAAAAGCTCCAAAAGTAAAACAAATTGAATTAAAAAAAATGATATTTTTCGTGAAAAATAAAGTCAATCAAATTCACCATAAGTTATTTTGTTTGAGGTGGAAAATTGCTATAGATTTTTAAAAAATGTTGGGTTAAGTCATGGGATGAGTGCTTTTTGCTGGGAAGGAAACACTTTTGTGGATCTCTCATGTTATGAAAATGGAAATAAAAAGGAAAAATTTAAAGAAACCACGTCTTTCAAGTTTTCATTTCATTAATCAAGTATTAATTATTATTATTCAAAAATCAGATTGTAATTAAATTTTATTAGGTTTAAATATATTATAACATTAATAAATTGATATTATCAAATAATATATTAATTTATCAATATAATCTCACACGAGTGCGCGCGCGTGCACACACATGCATATATATATAAACACACAACCACAAACACACACAAACATTTTTGTTCAAAAAAAAATGTCCGGGACTACTAAATCGATCGAATAACTACTACACTATGAGTCACAATGTTATTGTAAACATTCTTTATTTGACATAATTTAAGTCATATAATTACCACTACGTAATCACATAACTGACATAGAAATGACGATAATCCTCGAACAAGTTTGATAAGCATGCCATATACAACTTCTAAGATGGTAATGGTTGAGTGCAAAAATAGTTAATATACAAGGATTCACTATTCACAATTTCATCCAAAACTGTTTTCTATATCACATGTTAGGATTTCGACAACATATGATTGTCAACCAATATTGTACACTTAACTTTATTCTATTTTTTAGTACCTTTCTTTCCTTTCTCTTCTCTATCTTTCCCCATTTTTCCACGTAATCACCTATATCTCTTTACTCCTCAATTTATCCAAAAAATCATGTATAGTTCTCCTTTCTTCTTATCTCTTTTCATTTCTTTCTCCTTCCAAGATTTTTTATTTCGCCAGAGTTTTTCGGTGTTGACTATTACAAAAGTTTGCTGACCACCTCTTGGTAACTAACCCCCCCTTTTTTTTCTCTATTTCGTTTTTCTCTATTGAGGCTTCACTATGGATAGTATTCGTTCGTTTGTCCAAAAGTCAACCAGTTCTATTTTATCTAGTTGTTTTGAAAATATTTATTCTTAGATTTTTCTATCATCATTTTGGTTCTTTCCATTTTTCTTTTCTGGGTAATTTTAACATATATGAGTGTTAGCAGGTAATACTGCTTATTGAATGAATCTTTTCATTGCTACAATTTTACATCTTTCTTCTGCTGTTTTATTGATACATGGGTTTAGTTCAAGGTGTGCGTGTGTGGTGTCGTGGGGAGAGGGGGGTAGGTTGGGTGGATTCAATCAAATCAGCAATTGAATTAGACATGTAAATGATTTCGTAATCTTTAAATCTTAAACATGCAATGTAGATAGATTTGTGCCACATTATGTAAGGATTCTTGATAATATGAAGCACATATATGTTGCCTATGACTGGATACAGTATGAACACAGCAGATATTTGAACTTCGATAAAAGTCCCCAATGGCATCGCCATAAGTTATGGATAATTGAATTGATGACAGATTTGCAAATGATGGGTTGAAGCTAATATATGGTTATTCATTTACTGCAGTCTATAAAATGATGTTGTTTAACTAGAATAATAATATCAAAAAGAAAAGTTTCTTTTGCTGTTATATTGAATGCAAGAAGTTCTCTTATACTAGTTCTTGGTTGAAGGATTCCATAAGAACGAGAACTACTATTTTATATATATTACTTTTTGAAACTTCAATCTCTTTAGCATTGACATATTAATTGAAATGTAGGTCATTTTATTTGTGTTCTTAACTAAATTTTATTAACATTAAGATTGACACCAAAAGATAGGATAGATGAGGCTAAAAACTATACTCTTGATGGTATAAGAAACTCTTTAATACGTCAAGAGGATAGCATTATTTTCAGCCTTGTGGGGCTCAATTCTGTCATAATGCAGAGAATGGGTCCCGTGGCTTTTGCCATGGATAGATTTGATAGCTCTTTGGTAGAGTATATGGATAAAGAAAAGGAAAAACTACACGCTGGGCTATAACGTAAAGCGGGACTTCTTCGTAGTTCAAATTCTGCTACATCTTCAATGGTTCATGCTTTACTACATGACTCGGGTCTAGGACATATTTCTTGAGTGTAGATACATGGAAGACATCATGCATTGGAGAAAGCTCTGGTGGCAAAGTTAGCTGATATGTTGAGTATCTCAAAGGGTCCATTGTACCTCGGTCGAAGTTTCCATTTCTTACCGAAACGCAAAATACCTTTCATTGGAGTGACTTTCAACAATACATAATCACCACTTGTAAATTCTAGGTCCTTTTGCCTCCTATCTGCATAGCTCTTACATTGGAGTGACTTTCAAAAATATGCGATCACCAACTGCAAATTCTAGATCTTTTCATCTTCTATCCGCATAACTTTTCTGTTTGTCTTGGGTAGTTTTAATACTAGGTCGGAAGGGCCTGAACTGTTTGTTCCACAATTTCAGGCCCTAATATCTTACGCTCATCAACTTCATTCCAATGAATGGGTGTTCTACACTTTCTTCCATATAGGGCTTCATAAGGTGCCATACCGATACATGCATGGTA